AAAAAAATGAAAAAAAAAAAAAAAAAAAAAAGTAGGCAATGATTTAAATGTACTTTTATTTTAATAAAACCATTTCTTGAGCCAAGAATTTTATTTTTTTAAAAAAATTCTAAATTTTAAAGTTATAAATAATATATTTTTAACAAATCTGTGAAGTAGTGGACAAAAAAAGATGGGAGTGGGAGAAACTTACTTTCGAATGGGATGATGATGCGTATTCCAACCAATCAAAAGCATTGCAAAGTACATTGCTCCGGTGGCGAAAACCAAGTGGAAAAAGCCGTAGCCATATGGAACATCATCTTCTTCATCCTGTTTGTCATCCTTCCTGAGCTGCAGCTTTAATAAATTAATTCTTTTCTTTTTGGGTGGGAATAATAATAATAATAATAATAATGAAATAAAGCTTTTTGGGAGTGCAGAACGCACCTGGAAGCATTTTGAGTCTATTCCGGTGGAGAATGTCGCAATAACCATTGCGAGTACGGCAACGATAAAGCTCTGTCACACGCGTTATGATTGTTTTAACTTGCGTAATAGTTGGACAAAAATGAAATTATATCATAAAAATAGACAAAAGTTAAACCGCATTTATATTTTTTAGTACTTGGACGACTTTTGTCAAATCATTGGTAAATAAACAAAAGTTAATGTTAAGGATTAAAGTGGAATTTTAAACGAAGTTTTAGTAGTGAAATCTTTTTTACCAAAGTATTTTGTAGTAATTTACAAAAATACCCTTGTATTATAGTTGGCTATTATTGTTTCCCTAATAATGCATTTCAGAAGTATGTAGATCTTGAAGTTGATTGAAGAAAAAAATAGAAAAAAAAAAGGAATATCTTACAATGATGGTTAGCCAGTCGGTTTTGGTTGAAGTCTCTTCATTTCTGACACACTTCCCTCCTCCTCGTTCACTGCAAGTTTATATTGTCCAAGTTAGTTAGAAATCGAGCATTTCTGGAATTCCTAAAAACATAACACAATTAATAACCATAACAAGGACTAATGTGAGTAAATAACAGTAGATTGGCCGGTGAATGAATTTTTGTAGTAGAAAAAAATAAAGTTTTAAAGTTATAAGAGAACTCGATCTAAAAGATTGAGCTAATTCTAGTTAATTTGTTCATTTAATCATAGTTCAATCGATTAAAATAATATATATTTGTCCTAAAAATCAGATACTTAGTTGTCGACTGTATAATCATCTATGCCTAAATGATAATAAAAAAGATCATCGTACCTTCTAATGGCACACCAGCAGATAAATACTATATAGAGACCCATCAGACCAGGAGTCAAGATGCCAGCATTCACCTGTTGTGGTCTTAGTTAGCATAGTCATACACCAAATCATTCAGTTAAAGGGAAGTTTAAGAAATGAGATTGGAGCTTACTTTTGGATGGAGAGAAACGCTGGTCATGAGTTGAAGTAATACAAGTGTCCACGTAATGAAAAAAATGTTGAGGAAGCAAGTCGGTTGAGGCACATACCAAATGTACATCGAAATGATCCCAACCAAACAGATGACATATGCCATGGTCGCTAGTAACATTATGTGTATTTGACTGTAAGAAAATTAGCTCAAATTTAGAAAAGTAGAAGTGTAAGGCCAAAGTTTATTGTGTACTTTGTTCGATCGAATGATTGTTGAAGATTGTTGAGAGAGAGTCTCATGTTGACTAGTTTAAGGAAGAACTATGTGTTAAGGACTATGTGTTTATAAGTAAGAAATACATCTACATTGATATGTGGCCTTATCGAAAACATTAAGTAAAGCCGTGAGAGTTTAATAATACAAAAAGTTTCTTCAACTAACTTTTCAAGATTCTTATTTCCTTTAATATATATTGTATAATAGATAAATATATCCATATATGTTCCTTTTTTTGTAAGAAATAATTCATAACTGCAAAAAGTACTGTGAATTTTGAAATGTGACAGAGCTAATCAAAACGGTAAGAAATTCGTTTTCTGAAGAATTAAGAGAATTTGGTATACAAAGAGTGAGGCAAGGTAGCTTACCATCTGTCTGCACGCTTGTCGGACTGACAACAATCATTCAACCATGTTATAAAGCTTATTACGCTTACGAGCTGAATCAGGAGAAAGACCCTGAAAATGGTAAATAATTTAAACGTTACGTTTAAGCAATCGAAATCTTTTGGTTAAATTCTGAACATATTACACCAACTTCAGATAACAAAATATGAAAGTTTGGGTAAACTTTGAAGTAATGTACGTCGATGTAAAAGAAAGTACCCGGCACCGAAATGTGCAATGTCCCCTGGAAAAATAGGCATAAAAAATTAGTTACTTTATGCGTTTTTTTTTTTTTTTTTGATAGAGAGAGAGAGAGGTGGGGGGACTAACCATACAGCCGAATAACGGTGGAAGGAAGCACAAAGGGAATGATTGTGAAAGCAATCCATAAGATAATCTTGGCCGACCACCATCCAGAATGCCAATTACTTCGGCGTCCTCGCATCTTCGAAGTACCAGTTGTAGAAAGAAACATGGTGAAATAAAATATCTAAACAGAAGTTAAGGACTAGATATTGACCGTAGCTTGAAATTAAACTATTAACTCAAAACACAGCTGATTCAGTCAAGGATACAAAGCAACCCAAGCTCACACGAAGAACTCCTTCAGCACCTAGACAATCACGCGCTCCGTGACATCCTTTTAATCCTATGGCCATTCTCAATACGTGTTAGATTCCAACAATTAGTTGTAGAAAATAGTTGAGATAATGCCATGTGTAAATTTTGGAATGCAATGCATTGTTGATTATTAAGATAGTTTTCCTATGCTTCCAATATACATCTATAAATGCAAATATTATACAGAAAACTAATGAACATATGATCAATTTCACATCGAATATGGTAACAGAAGTGATGATTAAAATCAGTACTACTTCGGATGAGAATCAAACAAACAATCACTTCCCTCCCTAGAGACTTTAAAAAATGAACATAGAGGAAAATCACATTAAATCTGAAAGAAACATGTTTCATTAAGTAAACATGAAGCCACATTTAAACAATACAAAGGAGTGTTAAGAATGAGAAATAGAAATAGAATTGGGATCGAAAGTATGATCTTCATTCAGGTTTACCACGTTTAAATAGGATACAAACTATCAACTAGTACCTAAAAATAGAAAAAATATATATCTAACTAAATCTGGTAAATAAATAAAATATACGGTTAATCAAATCTATACTAACAACTCCCTAAATATCTGAGATATATTCTAACTAATTATCAGGCCAAAATATCCTCTTAATACTCCCCCTCAAGTTGGAGAGTGTAGGTTAATCACGTCCAACTTGTCTTTAACTTGTCTTTACGGTAGGTCAATAACACCCAAGTTGTCTTTCACTCTTGTCTTCCCAGTAATGAAAATATCTGTCAAAAAATAGACCGCCTTTGATTGGTTTGCATTTTTAGACTTTCAAGAAATTATTGAATTTTCAAGAAAGATGCAAGACTCAGAAGTAGGCTGCCTTTGATCGGTTTGCATTTTTAGACTTTCAAGAAATTATTGAATTTTCAAGAAAGATGCAAGACTCGGAAATAGACCGCAATGATTGACTCGAGGATTGATAACTTGTCCATTTAATTTGATTTGGAACAAGTGAATATCCTCCCTGATCACTTGTTGGTCCATGCATAAATGCTTTAGTGGATAATGACACCAAGATCGGTGCTTTGGATCACTTGAGAGGCTGTGAAAGAAAATACGAACATCTTGAATATGTCACCTTAGAGCTTGGTGAGAAATTTGAAGATGCTTATAACGTATTCTTGATATTGGATGATTGACGATGATAAAGACTTCACTGATTGGTTAGGGTTTGGCTTTAGGTTTAATACTCCCCTTGGACTCTGAGTCCAAGGGGTATTAGGAATACCACGATCGGTGCTTTGATATTAGAATATCAAGATCGGTGCTCTGATACCATGTTAAGAATGAGAAATAGAAATAGAATTGGGATCGAAAGTATGATCTTCATTCAGGTTTACCACGTTTAAATAGGATACAAACTATCAACTAGTACCTAAAAATAGAAAAAATATATATCTAACTAAATCTGGTAAATAAATAAAATATACGGTTAATCAAATCTATACTAACAACTCCCTAAATATCTGAGATATATTCTAACTAATTATCAGGCCAAAATATCCTCTTAATAAGGAGATACAGTTGGGTTTAAGGGAAATTGTAGTATCAACCAGAAAGATGTGAACATTTACCAAAGTTTTATGATGGTTAGGAAGAAAGGAGTCTTACTTTCCATCTCTGTCAAGGCGCCACGGCCATAATCCCGGACAGCCCATGCCAACAAATTAGCAATTAGAAACATCAAAGCGTAAATGTATCTTGCCATCCAAGGATTGGACCAATTACGAAATTGGCTACACCATGTATCAGCCTTAAATATGCAGCTCCCCTGAACGGAGCTTCCTCCGCCGCTTGTCTCCATGTCTACTAAAGCCAGACTACATTTCGTCCATTTCTGGTTGCATAGTATAATCAAACTGGATTTTCTGTCCTGCTTGCTTCACTTCCCTGAAGCAATTACAAAGAGTTGGAAGCGGTGCGGTAAGCAATCTCAATTACTAATCTTAAAATCTAAAGTTAGGTGTGGGTTAAAAACTGAAAATTACAGTTTGAAATCTACCATAGGAGTTAGGAAATTAACTTATTGAGGCGTTATGTCTTTTGCTTTTGCTCTCGAGATCTGTTGCGTATTCATGTTTTTTAAATCTATGAAGCAGTTTGTGATGGATCAAATCAACACCATCAAGTGCACGTTTGACGCGGTTTGAGTTAATTTCACGCTTCAACAGGGATCCGGTGCCGCTGCTGTAACCCTACCTAAAAGGAAATTAATAAATAAATATCCGGATCCCTTCCGCCAGGTACGGCATCACATGCGCCTTTCGGCGATTAGCCGATAACCCGAAATTTCAACTCTATATTCCAGAAAAGCTGGTTCGTCGGGATACGTGCGAGCATCAGTCATCATCAAGTTTGAGCAATGGGCACAAAAGGCCTATTTCTTGGAGTTTTAAGTCCGTTGCAGGGGAATGACTTCTACCAAACTCCTTTTATGACGATTATACTCCTTCATTGAGTTTAAATTAGGATTAGAATAAAATAACCATTGATACTTTAACTCAGCTTGGTAATTGCATCTGTGTGGGCTCGGTTCTAGGATCCTAGGCCAAGTTTCGCTAAACAGTACTGCACAGGCAGGGAAAAGAAGGCACTGCAGAAGACCAAATTTGAAGCAAAATGATTCTTAGTTTATCAGCTCTCAACGGATGGCCTTCCTTTTACTTAAAATCTTCATTTCCGTCATATTAACTTCCAGATATGTGATAATAAACTTTTCCACGATAAGAACTTCATTACAAACTGTGACTCTGTTCGTAAATCTGATTGCGAATAATATAGATCCGATCGTCGTAGAACCTTTTCTTTCTTCAAACTGAACAGGAAGAGTGACTAAATAGAAAGAAATATCTAGCGAAGAGCCTATTCGGTGGCCGGCGACGGAGATAAAAGAAAAGAATAACTAAATTTCTTACAAAGCAAACCAACTAGGCGAAGAAATGCAGCACAGTAAAGATCAATATCCTTTTCATTTTCAAATACACTATGCTGAAATCGAAGTTTGAATCGCAAATACTAAAACGATCTATTCGAGGCAGAGAAAATCTTTACCAGACCACAACACATTTCCATCAGAGCACACATTTCAGAGAAAAACGATATAAATCTCACAAATATCAGCAGTTACATCTTCAGAAAGCAAAGCTTAAAACAGTTAACTAATTCAATGAAGAAGAGAAAGCAAATGCTGGAGGAAGAAGATGAAGAACACGAACCTGCTACGGATCCAGTTACCGAACTCGAGATAAGAAGATTGGAGTGATTGGAAACGTTAGTGCAGAAGGTTGAACTTCCGCCTCCTTCCTCCTGTAAAGTTGTGCATCAAAATCCTTCCAGAACGAAGATTGGAAGCAGAGAGAGAGAGAATCTGGAATTCGCTTAAGGTGTTTGGGAGTTGAATTTATACAGAATGGAAGAGAGAAAGAGAGATTGCTTTTACGAAGGCTTGCTTTGCGTTGTGTGCTCTGTTTCTTTTTCCCGCCGTAAGCTTCTTATTTTCGCCTCTGCCTCTCTCTTCTCCTTTTATACTCGTCTCTGACTCATTATTTGTTTTTTTTTTGTTTTTTTTTTATAATAATTTTCATATCGAAATGTTTAATTTATTTTTAGTTAAATTATAAATATTAGGGTTTTCTATATTTACTTTTTACATATATTAAAAAAAAAGCAAAATTTTTAAACCTAAAGAATTTTAAAATTTTGTTCTTAAATTAAAGAAAGGATTAGAAAAGAAACATAATTTTTTAAAATTAAAATTTAAAATCTCTTCCTTGTAAGGGCGAAAAGCTGTATTGAACAAGTGAAAAACGCTTCATTTGCTAATTATCTTAAAGTATTTATAAATATACAAAATTTTTGAGGTCCCGTCAAAAACATTAAAACTAGAATCGATAAATTCACATCAAATTTAATCATGACATATTTGTGATATAACTATGACATGTTATGAATAATGGAAAATCGTTGAATTTTGATAAAAACGTGAACCTTAATTTACTTTTAACGAGCAAAGGGAGTGATGCAATAGCTAAAACCCACCTCTAACAGATATTATCCGCTTTAGCCTGTTATATATCGTTGTCAGTCTCATGATTTTAAAACGCGTCTACTAAAGAGAGGTTTCCACGCCCATATAAGAAATGTTTTGTTCCCCTCTCCAACCGATGTGGGATCTCACAATTCATCCCTTGGGGCCAGCGTCTTCGCTGGCACACCGTTCGATGTCTGACTCTGATACCATTTGTAACAGTCCAAGCCAATCGCCGTCAGCCTCACAGTTTTAAAACGCGTCTATTAAGAAGAAGTTTCTACACATATATGAAATCTCATCAGGAATGAATAAATGTTTAGCTCAAAGTTTAGTGTACAAAAGGCCTCAAAGCAAAGCCATGAGAGCTCATGCTCAAAGTAGACAATATCATATTATTGTGGAGAGTCGTGTTCGTCTAACATGGTATCAGAGCGATGCCCTAAACATAGTTATGCCAATAGATTGGTAAATCCTCAATTGTCGAACAAACGGCTCCAAAAGAAAAAGGAGTCAAGCCTCCTCGAAGGCAGTAAAAAATGACTAAGACTCCAAAGTAGTCGAGTCTCGATTAAGGGGAGGCGTGCTTTGTTCGAGAGGAGGTGTTGGATGATGAAAGTCCCACCATCGGCTAATTTAGGGAATGATCGTGGGTTTATAAACACAGAATACTAACTTCATTGGTGCGAAGCCTTTTGGGGAAGCCCAAAGCAAAGCCACGAGAACTTATGTTCAAAGTGGACAATATCATACTATTGTGGAGAGTCGTGTTCATCTAATATGGTTGAAACACAATGATTTTATTTATTTATTTCTTTTTAATGTTTTAGGTTATATCATAATTTGAAGGCTCTTTTAAGAAGAAAAAAAAACCCCCACAAATTTAGCATAAGCTCCACATTATATGAGATAAAGCCAAAAAAAATCACGAGGTAACAAGTTAGGTTTATCATAAATTTTGCTTATAAAAGGCAAATTGTAACAAATTTGGAAAATAAATTAAAATCTTAATTAATTATATAATGCTTTAAAAAGCTAAATTAATTTGTATTTATTTAATTTATCAACTTTAAAAATTATTTAATACGGTGAAATTTTAAAATAAATATATTATAATTATCTTAATTGAAATATAAAATCTTCAACATATTTAAAATTTGAAAGACTAAATTAAATTTTATCTTACTAAAATTTTAATTTTGTTCCTAAATTTAAAAAAAAATGTTGAATAGACCTTACAAGATATGGAAATCTCTTTCTAATATAAAGGTTTTAAAACTGTGCGGCTGAAGACGATATGTAACGGGCCAAAAGTGGACAATATCTGCTAGTAGTGAAGTTGGATGGTTACAAATGGTATCAGAGTTAGACACTGGGCGGTGTGTTAGCGACGACGCTAACCTCCAAGGGGAATGGATTGTGAGGTTCTACATCGGGTTGAGATTGGGAACCAAACATTTATTGAGTACAGAAACATCTTCCTAGTAGACGTTTTTTAAAACCGTGAGACTAATAACGATACATAACAGATCAAAGTAGACAGTATCTACTAGCGGTAAACTTAGATCGTTACAAAATCAATGACTTGTTAAACACAAAAATCAAATACTTTCTAAATTTGAATCACTGAACATGCATAAATTTAAATTTTTTTAATTTAATTAGGAGAGATTTTAAAAAAATATATTTCATAAATTGACAAATATTTTTAAATTTCAAAACCAATATTTTATTTGGAATAGCATCAAAGAGTTGTGTTAGGTCCGCTTTCATATAGTCCATTAAAATGAATATCATAAGAATACTATGCACTAAAAAAAACTTGAAATTTAGGTATTACCCAAAAATAAATTAAAAGAAAAGTCAAAAAGTAAATTAATAAATAATAAATAATAAAATAAAATAAAATTAAAAAAAACCCCACTAAGAAATTAATGGAAATGACATTTTCTATGCCTGCCTTTTAAAGTTCTTATTCATTGAATTTCAAAGTGGATTCAAATTCATTTTTGCATTCTCTTGTTTAAATTCATTTTTGAAAATTTAAAACATTATTTTTTAAACACTTAATTTTTTTTTTTTTTTTTAAACAAAATGGCCGAGCTAGCAGATATTGTCTTCTGTGCTTTTTCTTTCAGGCTTCCTCTCAGCCTGCGCCAAAATTTCTCGCTCGAGAAATTGATGAAATAGGTTAGTACAAGTTTGAGTAAGTAGAAATTTAGAGTCGTTAGTAACATGTGCTTTGATACCATTTGTAACGTCTCAAATCCACCACTAGTAGATATTATCCTCTTTAGGTTTTCCCTTTCAGACTTTCTCTCAATGTTTTTAAAACGCGTCTGCTATGGGAGGTTTCCACACCCTTTACCAGATATTGTCCTCTTTAGGTTTTCCCTTACTGACTCCCCCTCAAGGTTTTTAAAATGCGTTAGCTAAGAGAGGTTTCCACACCCTTACAAACGGTGTTTCGTTCTCCTTTCCAACTGATGTAAAATCTCACAATCCACCCCTTTTAGGGTTCAGCGTCCTCGGTTACTTTCTCCCACAGATGTGTGATCTCTAAGTCATTTTTAAAAATTTTTAGGCTAAAAAATATTTTTGATTTTTTTAAAAAAATTTAAGAGTATTATTAAAGCTTTCTTTTCGAGGTTTTTTTTTTTTTAAGATAAAATTTAAAATTTTAAAAATACTTTTATTAATTAAAAAAAATAGTTTAAAAGTTAGAATTCAAATTGCTTGACAGACCATTTAAACTAAATGCTTTTCCCTTATATGAATTAAGATTGGTTTAAACAACTAAAAGAAGAAGTATTCCCCAATACAATACTCTTTATTCTTTAGGGTTTGTTTTTCCTCGTGCTTTTGGTCATAGCAAAGCAAAGCTTCTTGGATTCAATCATCCCTTGCTTGTACAACTCTTTTTCATTAAAATGTTAAATAATGTCAATTTTCCATTTATTATTCATATTTCTTTTTCAATTATTTGTTCATATTTAATTAATTTATTCATACCGTCTTCTATTTTATCTTCATTTATCTCCGTTTCATGTCAAATATTTTAAATTTGAATTAGTATTCTCTTATATCATCTGCAATATGACCCCGCTACCTTGCAGTATAGTGATTCTAATAGTAGAGAATATCCCCACAAATCAATGCATGTTTTTTTTTTTTAAAAAAAAAAAAATTACTTAGAAGCCACACAACATAGAATTATTTCAAGTTAAGCACGATTAACTATGAAATTACTATGATTGAGTTATCGAAAAGACACTTAATAGAATTATTTCGAGCTAGAATCGCTTAATTGTGAAGTTCGTATTATTGAGTCATCGAAAATGAAAGTGCACCTTGTTAGTATTGGTATTTACGATTCATTCTAACCATATTTTCATGTCATCTGTATCACTCTTTATTTACTCAGGTGTCACAAAACAAAAACGTGATTAGGTCATGGCTGTAAATTCATTTCTAAGATTTTATTTACAATTGTGAAATCTCACGTCCGTTGGAGAGTAGAACAAATCATTCCTTAGAAGAGTGTGGAAACCTTTTCCTAGTAGATGCGTTTTAAAGCCATGAAGCTAACAGTGATACGTAACAGACCAAAGCGGACAATATCCGCTAGCAATGGGCTTTTGTGGTTACACCTGCTTTTAGAGCCAGACGTCGGATGGAATGTCAGTGAGGACGTTAGGCCCCTAAGAGAGTGAAATTACGAGGTTCCACATTAGTTGGAGAGTGGAACAAAACACTTCTATTAAGGGTGTGGAAACCTCTCCCTAATAGATGTGTATTAAAATCGTGAGACTGACGATGATATGTAACGGGCCAAATCGAACAATGTCTACGAGCGGTATGCTTGAACTATTATGCATTTTAAAATTGTAAGGCTGACGACGATACATAACAGACTAAATCGATATACAAAATTTAAAGATTTAAAGGGGATTGGGATAAGAAGTTTATGAAGTAACTAAACTAAATTCTGGTGGCTTTTTGTTTGAAGAGTAATTCGGTGGTCAAAGTAAAAGAGAAAAAGACAAGAAAATAAAATTAACGAATCTTTTTTTCTTAACTAATTTCTTTTATTTGGTCATCACCATTTCCTTTAATCTTTTCATTATTATTATTATTATTATTAATTCGTTATTTAAATTTTGGCAACAAAAAAAAAAAAAAAGGTTGGCACGTGCAAGCAAGTGCTTAGCATTCGGGCCGTTATTTTAATATATTTGGAATTTTTAGTTTGTTTTATCCTCTACTTTTGTTTTTCCTTTTTGAACAGCTTACGTGGTTAGTTGAAAGCGCAATGGGATCCCATGATCGTCAATCAAGGACCTTTTCTTATTTTCCCTTTAAACGTAACCAACCATTGTGCTTGAATCCTTAAATTACTAATCCAATTTAACAATAATTCTTTAAATAAAATATAGTATTCTTTTA